TGTGGGGGCGATATGCTGACTCTGTAAACCGCTTAGAGAGGGCTGAAAGCCCTATGAAGCGGTATATAAGTCTAACTACTATTGCTATTGCTATAATCACTATCTTGCCTGTTCTTTCTTTCTTTCTCCTTCTCCCTCCCCCCCCTCTCTCACACACACACGTCAAAGTATGATCTAAACTACCTTTTTATCTTTAAATCCAGACCATTGCATGAGTTTATATTAAAAAAAACCATTCACAATATAATTCTGTACCCTTGTTGAATTTATTCTCTCACTGGGGAGATTATTAAGGGACATACACATATTTATGTCTGTTCAACCAAGGATAAATTGCATTGCAACATTTTAATAAAATTCCATCTCTGCTGTTAATGTTAGTGAATGGACTTGAAGAAAATAATTGTGATGAAATATTTGAGGTGGTTTCCCCTACCTGCAACATCTCCACTACTTCTAATTTAAGCTCTGTACCCACAAAAACACATGTGTGGTTGTGTCTATAAGGCAGTAGAGCCAGTTAACTTCTTATCCTTTTGGGGTGCAAAAAAAAAATGACTGTGGAGACAATTCAGCGGCATGGATTTTGGGACTTAGGGGTGGATGCAGACCTACTGGGCATTCTTGCCTTGTTCTGCTTATTGGTTTCTAAAGATAGCACCCTACCCTTAGCGTAGCAGAGTACTTATGTCAGAAGCACCAAGGTGCTTCCTGATTGAAAGATTTAGCCAGTGACATCACCATTGCTCAAGGGAAACCCAGTAAGGGACTACTTTCATGTTCCCAGCAGAAGCTGGAGCAAAGGACAGGAGCTCAACCCTGCCCCAAGGCAGCATTCGGGTCTCAAACACAGGCTAGCTAACCTCCAACTCAGCATCCTAACCATGCAAGCCACTGTGCTCCTCACCCTACCCTTTGCTGCTCTTTTAGTGGAGTTGAAGAGCTCCTTGGAACAGTAGTCACTCACATGACTTAGAAATCACTAGAAAAACAGGGGAAAAGGTGAAACAATTGAAGTGTTTTTGGTGCTGCCCATTGGTCAACTTGAGGACAAACCCATGAGTTCATGAGATGCTTTCAAGCCTCATCAGTAACAAAAAGAGTAATTGTGGAATGGTTGAAAACAGTTGTTGGAATGAAAACTGTGGTTATGTGCAATGTCCTTTATTTTCCCTGGGTTAAAAATGGTGACATTTTTATCATAGCATGTATTAATCAGCTGGTCCATGCAAAAAAAAAAACAGCTGCAGAAGGATACAAAGAACCATATATAGTATTACTTCCTCAGGACAAAACAGTAGACATCTGGCAATGCTGTGCAAATGTAGTAGTAATTCTTTAAGATGTCACAAGACTAATGGTTGTTTTAGTTTCTGTAATGATCTTTGAGGACTTAGATATTTTGATGTTTAGTTCTGTTCAAAACCCTGCTATGAACAGTGGAGGAATTTGACAAAAACCTTTAATTGATTTTAAAATATATTACTGCCAGCATCAGAGATAATACAGAACCAGTGATTTTGGCAGTTCTTGTATTTTCAATCAAGAGTGAGCTAACATGCTTGGAATATCTCTGACAATTTGAAAACCGCCTTTTTGATTCAAAGATCCATCTGGCATAGCAATTATTTATCAATATGTTAAGATATTGAATTTAGTAGCTGGAACAGTAAGGTGTACAATAGGCCAGAACCCACAGTTATAGTTGATTAGAGAGTGCTGACTCATGCATGATGCAATCTACGCTAGGATTGGTTGCTGCAAATATAAAGGGGGAGTTTTCCTTTTCCCCCTCCTTTTTCTTCTTCTATGTGCTCTGTATACTGTTTAATTTGCCCCATCATGTTCCTGTGTTCCTGTCTATCTTGTGTTTTTTTTTTCCTGATGATGACAAAGACTGCTATAAATTTGAAATAAATATATACATGTGCTAGTCGTTCCCGACTCTAGGGGGCGGTTGCTCATCTCCATGTGAAAGCCTAAGAGCAGACGCTGTCCGAAGACGTCTCGGTGGTCATGTGACCAGCATGACTAAACTCCAAAGGCACATGGAATGCTGTTACCTTCTCATCAAAGGTGGTCCCTATTTTTCTACTTGTATTTTTACATGCTTTCGAACTGCTAGGTTGGCAGAAGCTGGGACAAGTAATGGGAGCTCACTCCATTATGTAGCACTAGGGATTCGAACCACCGAACCAAGAACTGCATCTTAGAAAATTGGGGTCTTTCATAGGTTTCCTTTTAGGAATATTTCATTGATTTTAGGAGTATTTCATTTATGTAACTTTTAGAAATATTTAAGAATATTTCATTGATTTGACATGTAGGAATATTTCATCGATTTAACTTTCGAGTTGGCTCCTAAAAGCCAAGTTGACAAGACGTATGAGATGTAGAAAGAACTATTACTAAGTGATTCCTTAAAGTGTAAAAAAAAAATGTAGAAGAGAATATATTTAGGCTGGTTGGGCTTACCACGAGCATGTGTTTATCTGGGATGATGGGAATTTACAACTCAGTTTGCAGCATTTTTTAAACAAAATCAAAAAGCATAATTTTACTTATTAGTTTTGAAAGTAAAAGCCTGACTAACTTACGAGTCACGGTGACAATTGTTCGGTTACTGCGCTCCGAGGTTTGAGATCCTGTCATTGAATTCATCTGGACAGCACATTCAAAATATAAAATCCTGTCTCCGGCATCAATGGGAAATTCTAAGTCAACAAAATTTTCATATTGCGATGTTCGTCTCCTCTCATGTTCAACTCCATTTGCAGACTGTGCAGTTTTATAAAATGTGAAATAGAAAGGTGGCTTTTCTTCCGGCACTTCACAGCGTAAAAGTACATTTTCTCCTTCCATCACTTCTGTTTTCTGGACACTCAATATCGGCTTCACTATGCCTTCAAAATAGAGAAGCATTCATGAATTAAATTATATCTTTGCAAGTGACAAGCTGGAAGCCATTTTAAACAGCTTGATCTTGGGATTTTCATGTGTTAATACGTGAAAAATCTCGAGCTCAAGCTGTTTTTTCCAGCTCTGAAAAAAAGGAAGCCTAGCATCTTGGATCTTTTTTTTCTAAAGATCTTCTAAAATTCTTTCCTTTTTGAAGTTGTTATAAGAAGTTATAAGTTATGACAAGTTGTAAAAAACTGGAGAACCATGTTGGTTAAGGCATAGGGCTAGAAACCAAAGAATCGTAAGTTCTAGTGCCACTTTGGACATGAAAAGCCAGCTGGATGACTTTGGGCCAGTCAGTCACTTTCTCAGCCCAACTAGCCTCAGAAGCAGAGGTAAAAACCAGCATGTTCTGACAGGTTCTGGAGAACTGGTAGCAGACATTTTGAGTAGTTCAGAGAACCGGTAGAGGAAATTTTGAGTAATTCAGAGAACCAGCAAATGCCATCTCTGGCTGGCCCCAGGAGTGGGGAGGGAACGGAAATTTTGCAGTATCCTTCCCCTGTAGTGGGGTGGGAATGGAGATTTTGCAATAGACTTCCCCTGACATGCCCACCAAGCCACGGCCACCAAGCCACATCATGCCCACCAAGCCATGCCCACAGAACTAGAAGTAAAGAAAATTGAATGTCACCATTGCTCACAGGGTTGTTGTTGTGAGGAAAATAGGAGGTGGAAGGAGCATTAGGTATGAGTTATTTATAAAAATAATAAAGGCAGGAGAAAAAAATAGCCCAAAGAGGCAAATAGCAACTGACAGAGAGATCGTTTTGATAAAGTGAAAAAAGAGCAACTTTCTTTGGGAAAAGTATCACCTAAAGCAGTGGGTCTCAACTTTCCTAATGCTTCGACCCTTTAATACAGTTCATCATGTTGCGGTGACCCCCCAACCATAAAATTATTTTATGTTTTCTGTATTTTTTCAAAAATATGTGTTTTCCGATGGTCTTAGGCAACCCCTGTGAAAGGGTCGTTCGAACCCAAAGGGGTCCCAACCCACAGGTTGAGAACCAGTGACCTAAAGAAAGCCATTTTGTATGTCATGGTTTCTTTATGGATTAGAGCCAAATGTCACTGAAGTGTTGCAAAACCTCTTTGGATTACTTCCTTGTAGTGCAGACTTGGGAAAGGCTGTTTTGTTGCTTTGGAGATTTGTAATCTAATTGGTAGAATAGAAGGATTTTCAAAAAACAACTGAATAAAAATCAGTCCCAATAGAATTTTACACAAGAGAACTACATCCACAGAAAAACACCAGGAAGACATGACTATGAAAAACATGGGACACAAGTGATGAGGCTGGGTGCTTTCCAGGAAAAATGCTAAAATATGTTGTAAAAAAAATGAAAAATAACACAAAAAGATTTTCTGGATTAAGCAGAAAGAAAAGAAAAGAAAGAGAAAGAGAGTGAAAGAAAAAAGAAAGAAAGAAAGAAAGAAAGAAAGAAAGAAAGAAAGAAAGGAAGGAAGGAAGGAAGGAAGGAAGGAAGGAAGGAAGAAAAAGGAAGGAAGGAAGGAAGGAAAATAAGGAGGAAAAATTAGAAAAAAGCACTGTGGTAAAAATACAAGGAAAATTTGTATTTAATCTTTCCTATCTATAAAAAAAAAGTTTTAATACCCGAGTTATTCCTTCAAAGTATAGAGACACCTACCTTCAACTTTAATGGTCAAAGGAGCACTGGATTTTTTTTTCTCCTCAACACTTAATGAACATTCATAGTATCCTGAAGAAGAAAATCTAGCTTGTGAGATTGTATACTGAGCGCTATCTTGTTCAACCATGTTAGTAAACAGAAGGTCACCATTCTTGAAAAATGAAAACGTGTAATTCAGTCGAAAATGTTCGTTCTTGCTAATGTCTACAGAACAGTTGAGGATGAGTGAGTCTCCATTGCGCACTTCATTTTGTGGAAAAGCCTGGAGTGAAACTTTATTGATAGTGAACACTGGAAAAGAAGAGAAATGTTCATGATATTAGTTTCAGGAATCATCCACAGTCTGTTTTCCCCCCAGAAATTATTATATTGGATTCATAGATCCAACGCATTTGAATAGGATGTTAGCCACTAAAGTAATCTGATTGTATTTCTTATGAATTTTTTGATTAATCAAATCAATAATAGGCTTGATTTGATTAATAAAAAAATTACATAATTGTATGCTTTGATTTGCATTTATTTGATACATTCTTAAACTGAGTAAAGATGCTTTGTAGTCCAATGCATACTAGATTGCAAAAGACTGTACTAGGTCGTTCTGTAAGGTATTAGTCATCTTTCACTTGATGTTGCTAAATATTCAGGCTTATTTTTCCCACAGAAGGATTGTTTCAGTTGATGGAACAACTTCCTGGAGAGCAAAACTGAGGGGTTAATCAAAGAAAAAACCTGAGCAATCCAAGGGGGCTGTCTCTCAATAATGAGGAATGACAGTGAACCAACTGTAAATTAAATACCCATGTTTCCCCAAAAATAAGACAGGGTCTTATTTTCTTTTGACCCCTGAAATAAGCATTTGGCCTTATTTTTGGGGCAGTCTTATTATTTTTGAGATGCAGGAGGTGGCGAGCATGGTCACATTCTATTGTATTTGAATTTGTTAACTAGAGATCACCCTACTCCTTTCCTCTTCTGCTGCAGCATTTTAAGATTTCCCCCCAAATCTGCCCGGATGGCCTGGGAAGATTGCATGGGAGAAGCCTTATTCCCCCAGTCATCCCTCTTCTTCATGTTATTTGTTTTTCATTTATTTCTTAACATTAGTGTATATGATCACCCACCCACTCATTCCTGATATAAACAATAAAATAACCTGTGATCAAACAACAACAAGAACACTTTGAGAGCAATTAAAAAGAGCCCATCTGCTCTAGTGCTTAAGCCATTAATCTAGAAACTGGAAGACAGTGAATTCTAGTTCTGCATTAGGCATAAAGACAATAAGGTGACCTTGAGCCAGACACACTCAACTCTCAAAAGAAGGCAATGACAAACCACTTCTAAAATCTTACCCCAAAAAATCACGAAAACAATCCCGGCAGTCATTCCTATTGAATGCTCAAATCTCTGTCTCTGTCTCTGTCTGTCTGTCTCTCTCTCTCCCTCCCTCCCTCCCTCTCAAACACACACTCTCAATCACCTAGTGCACTCACAGAACACCAAAAGAGGCTCACCCCACAACCTGGCCTGGTGCCCTGCTTCCACTGATGGAAGTTGTTCCATTACCAGAAGACCTTGACTGGGTTCCATCCAGAATAAGAAGGAAAACAACAAAAAATTGGATGATTTCATTTGCATTTCTAAAAATTATACTAAATTAACCCCTGCACCAAGTGCTAAAAAACAATACAACTGCTGGTAAACAGTCCAATAACAAGTACAGAATAGTCAATGATAGGTAACCAATTTGGTCTAGTGGCTGAGACACAAGGCTAGAAATCAGGTGAATGTGGGTTCTAGTTCTGCCTGATCCAAGAAAGCCAGCAGGGTGACCTTGTGCCTCATGCTCTCTCTCTCTCAGCCAAGTTTCTCAGCTAAGGGAGCCAGCATTGTCTGAAAATATTTCCTTAGTCATATGGCCAACATGACCATATGTTGAGGCGCACGGAACACTGTTGCCTTCCCACCGAAGTAGTACCTATTTATCTACTTGCATTTGCATGCTTTCAGACTGTTAGGTGGGCAGAAGCTAGGGCAGGAATGGGAGCTCACCCCTTTATACAGCCCTCAGATCTTAAACCTATGCTATCAGCTCTCCAGCTGACAAGCTCAGAATCTTTAACTGCTAAAATGATTATTTATAAACTCAGTTGTTTGGATTGAGGCAAAACATACATTTCGTGAATAAATGATAAACCTGCCAATTTTGCATCTCATCCCTAAACTACTGATTCACCAAAGCCTTACCATGTTCACTATCAATCAACTAACCCAGGGGTCGGCAACCTTGAACACCCAAAGAGCCACAAAAGTCCTAACCGGAAGCTCCCCATTCAATTCTGGAGTCAACTGTTCCCCCACCATAGAGTCTCCTCCTAGCATGGCATCCTTTTTCCTCTACCTGTCCTAACCAAAAGCCCTATCAATTGTGGAGCTGACCGGCGACAGGGAGCCGCAGCAGAAGGATGAAAGAGCCATGTGTGGCTCCAGAGCCACAGGTTGCTGACCCCTGAACTAGCCACATCAGAACCAGCTCACTGCCTTAGCCCACCTCTCATTTTCTGAAGTTTGCAGATGCTTTGTGGCAATGGATCAGTATCTGTAAACTGAACTTGTAGTGTGCCAGTGATAATATAAGCAGCAACAGGACTCCTAAAATTCAGAAAACTGACAATGGTCACAGTTATGTGAGTCCAAACAAAACAGAGATTTTGTACAAGTGATCCCCCACAAAAAATGCAAACAGCAAATGCAGTTATTAAGATATAGTGAACTGGGGATTCGTTCTCCCTCAGATGATTTCTCCTGAGGAATATTACTGAGTAGCAGAAATTGTGCTAAGAGTTGCTCTTATTGGGTTCATAATATTCAAATGTTACTAAATAAATACTTATGTTTACACTGAATGTTTGATATAAAATTTGGCTAAGAAAGGTCAGGGAATGCAATGGAATAGGATGTATCTATAAATACAACTATCCTATCACCAAACAGTGAATTACTCTGCCCTTCAATATGAACATAAAGGAAGGGGGCTTTCCTGAAGTGAGAAGTCCCCACATCTTTTTAAAAAAATATTTATTTAGTGATCCATGATTGCAGAAAGCTCAAGAAACACTGTTCTAACTAACCCTGCCCATAATTCTTACGCTTTCAATCTAGCTGAAATCTTCCACTCCCTGCCCGATTCTCTCTCTTTCTCTTTCTTCCGTACAAAATCCCTCTGGAATACGGCTTCAAGTATTAATTTTATTATTTTGTTCATGAGATGATTGTACGTTGATGAATTAGTTATAGGTCATTTCCACACTTGTGACTCATAGCAGCATCCAACAATTGTGAAGTGATATACAGCCTGTCCTCGCTACTATTATTTTGTCCTCGCTACTATTATTTTGGCACAATAATGGTTGGTTGATTCTAGAAGACACCATAAACTACTGGTGCGGAAATGACTTCAGTATCTTTCTAAGGGAAGCTTTCCAGGTGTTTGCTATCAAGGTTTTTTTGTTTTTTTTTAATGTTTGCAGCAATCTGTCTGTACCATTCTTATATACTGAGGTGGATCTGCTTCTTTGATCTAAACTACTGAGCAGATGCCAGGAAAATGTGGATCTTGATTGAACTGACCAATCCACAGAACATGTCATGATAAGGAGTGTAGCAATTTGATCAGCCAATAAGCAATAAAATCAGAGGTGGTATTCAGCAGGTTCTGACCAGTTCTGGAGAACCGGTAGTGGAAATTTTGAGTAGTTTGGAGAACCGGTAAATATCACCTCTGACTGGCAAATCTATTATCTGCCTCCAGAGTCCCAGCTGATCGGAAGGGAATGGGGATTTTGCAGTATCCTTCCCCTGACACGCTCACCAAGCCACACCCACCAAGCCATGTCACGCCCACAGAATCGGTAGTAAAAAAAATTGAATCCCACCACTGAATAAAATGTTGCAGGCCTTTGTCCCTGCTATTAGGGCAAGGTGAGAACTAATTGATTGCAAATAAAAACCCTTGAAAAAGTATTGGGAAGTTCTCAGGAGACAGTGTAGTCCTTTCTACAGAAGAAAAATTATAGTGTGTTGTTTCCTCGTGTTCCTATCCATTTGTCAATTGTGAACATAACACATATTTTTCACAATCCGACCAATCTACTGAGGAGAAATCAGAGGAACCCTAACTGTTAGAACTGACTTTTACAGCTGATCTTTCAAAGTAGTGGATTGGGGAGGGGGCAGGGAAAAGAAAGATTGTCCTGGAAGAGCCAGCTGTAGAAACAGCAGGAAGATCAAGAGAAACACCAACACTTTACATGTCATTGACAGTAGCTGCTATTGGGAAAAGATATTAGAGACTTTCAGATCTTTGAAAACTGCCATAGATAGATTGCTTTCCTGCAGGGAAAACTGTGGAAAGCTTTCCTTAGCCAGAAGGAAAAGCATGAATTAGGGATGATTTAGGAGTTGAATCGGGTACATTTGAGGTTAATTCAGGCTACCAGGACAGCTTGTTGATATTAAAGAGACCGAATGCAGCAATAAGCATCATTTAGGTTGTGTTATTGCCCCATAATATTGAGAGTATCTCTGTTGTTCATGAACAGTTGGGTTGGGTTGATATTGGATATTGTTGGCAAAGCAACTTAAGGACAAAGGCCTTGGAGTAGGGTCTGGGTTTGTCAGAAAAAGACAAAATTGTGTAGTCTGTTGTTTTATAGGTGATATTGCTGCAGCTAGATAATTTTAGGCTCTGAAAGTGGTATCTAGAGCCAGTCTAGAAGGCTGCACTGTATATGTTCTTCATGTAAAGTGGACCAACGCCCATTTTCCTTCTCCCCTACTAAGCTGCTGTTCCATTGGAATAGCAACTAGTGATGCTCCATTCCTGATAAAAGGCAACAGACAAAAGCTAGTTTTGCCAGTCCTGACTGAAACAAAAATAAGACCTTTAGCATATGAAATCTCATGTTTTAAATAGACTGAAAACAAGGTTGGTTTCCACACAAGAGAACAGGATTTGGATATGAGATTTGGAACCATCAATTTCTATTCAGGAAGCATAGATGTGATCTCCATTCCTAATTCACAAAAAGGAGTTTTGGCTAGAAATGATGTCTAATCAAACGAAATGTGCACTATGGCTGATTGCAGGACAGGATATTATAATATGCCAGGGAATTTTCAAGGAGGGTCCTGATAGAAATTTCTTGATTTTGGGGATTGGTGCCTATTCCTGAACAGGCGCCATGCCCCTCTGAGCCTATTACTGCCACTGTTGGACCAAGCACCCGATTTGCTTCCAGCTTAGCTGTAGCTCATCTGTTGTTTTCCTTTTCCTTGGGCTGCAACACTGGAGCTTCCTGGAGCTTAAAGGCAGGCCATTTTTCCCATTAGTGGAAATGTTTGCCTCATAGCACCCTTTAGCTCCTTGGCTACCTTCCCTCCACACAATTATGTAGCCATGGCGACTAACAGCTATTTTTATTATCTGAAAACAAACATGATGAAGCAGAAATGGGAATGGAGGGTGGGGTGCAAACTGGCATGCCAATTCTGGCATTGCCCCATGGAGGTAGTGCTGGTCAGACAAATGTGGATCATTGCTAGAGGGCTTCTCAGATTTTGGTGAAGAACATTTGGGGAGACATCTGGTGCAGGGGTGGGTTTCAAAAATTGTTCAAAGTTACTCTGTGGGCGTGGCCTCCTTTGTGGGAGTGGCTTGCCGCCCATGTGACCAGATGGGA